AGGCCTCGGGCGGCCGCATCTGGCCCCCAGGCCTTAGGTTGCCTACCCCTGGGCTAGATGGATGGACTTTATTAAGGAAACTATGAATATGAGTTTGCAGGCACTGGAGGACAAGGGGGCCTGGAGATGTGTCATCCCTAGGGTTGCCATGGGTCGAGACTAACGCAAAGGCAATTAACAACAAAAAAAATGTACGTCTATTTAACTGGCAATCCCTTGTCTTTGGGAAAAAGCCCTGACCCTGAGTGGTATTCATTTGCATGTGTTGTGTCTTGATTTTGCCGTTCTTCAGGACTGGTACCCAAACTTTGGGCCTTTGCAGACTGCCAGAAATAGTGCAAATTGAGTCCACTTTAACTGCCTTGAGTCAGTGCTAGGGAATTGTGGGAACTGTAGTTTATTGTGGCACCAGAGCTCTCTGGCAGAGAAGGCTCAATGTCTCAGAAAAAAATACAATTCCCATGATTCCCTAGCACTGAGCCAGGGCAGTTATAGTGGCCTCAATTTGCATTATTTCTAGCAGTCTGCAAAGGCCCTAAGTTTACTTTCAGTGTTTCTTGTTTCCTATTGAAGGTGTGCAGGTGTTTGTGGATTTCAGTGGCTTCCCTGGTAGTTGTTGGCATGGTCCAGAATTTCAGACAGCCAAGAATGGTACAATGTTCTTTCCTTTTCTTTATCCATCGTGAATTGGCTGTTTGGAATGTTTCATGAGCTATTTCGCCTTCTCTGGTACAGAGTTTTGGTGCCACAACAAACTAAAAATCCCAGAATTCCACAGCATGGAGCCATGACAGTTACTGTGGCATCACAGTGCTATAAATGACCAGTGGGGGAGGCTACCTTATGGCCTGATAGACCACACTCCTCAAATACATATAAATATTTCTCCCTTTCAAAGAGGCACCCTGAGGCTACATGCTTTATTTTCAACATGGCTGCCTTATCACCATGGCAACGTAGGCTGTGAATATGTTGACAAAAGCGCCATCATGTGGCAGGAGTTGGTATCCCATTAAATAGCTTCTCCTGGCAAGGTAAATATCACTTTTAGATATAAAACAACAAGGATTTGAAAAAGACTTGACGGATTTGGATATAACATTTCAAGAGGAATCAAGGAAGAAAAGAGTGAGCAGACTTTACAAAATATTAATGGATAGGAAAAAAGAAACAGAGAAGACAATCAGAAAATATGATAAAATGGGCGAATGACATCGGCAGGACAATAAACTTAGAATATTGGGAACGAACAAGGAAAAAAACAGATAAATTTACAAGATCTCAAGATCTGAAAGAAAATTATTGGAAAATGGAACAGAGATGGTATTTGACCCCATCAAGGATAGCCAAAATAAACAAAACAAATGAAAATATGTGTTGGAAATGCAAACAAAATATAGGATCTTGGGTTCATGTGTGGTGGCGTTGTTCTAAAATAAAGAAGTAAATATCACTTTTAAGGCTGATTTTATACAAGTACATCTTATAGTGATCCTTTGGAAAAGTATGGTAAATCAAAATTGCTCCCTGAGCTGGAAGATTTTTACCCAAAGTAGAACAAGCTTTTATTTAAGCCACTTAATACAATGTGGTCAAAAATGAATTGTGAACAAATGGGAAATAAAAGCCAGAGAAGAATTGGAAGAAGAAAGTATTTTTTCTAACTGGTTTCTATGGTCCAAAACACACTGCAGAAATAATCCAATTTGAGAACGTTTTAATTGCCCTGGCTTAATGCTAGGGAATCCTGGGAACCATAGTACTGTGAGGCATTAAGTCTTCTCTGTCAGAGATAGCTCTGCTGCCACAGCAAACTACAAATCCCAGGATTCCCTAGCACTGAGCCAGAGCGGTTAAAGCGGTCTCGAACTGGATTATTTCTGCAGTGTGTTTTGGACCTATATAAACAAATTTATGAAAAATTTAGGATGGACATGAAACTGGAGGACTATGATATTGAGGAGAATGATACTGATATTGAGACCACTTTAACTGTCCTGGCTCAGTGCTAGAACTATCTGACAGAGGCGGCTAAATGTCTCACAAAGCTACAGTCCCCAGAATTCCCTAGCATTGAACTAGGGCAGTTAAAGTGGTCTCAAACTGGATCATGACTGCAGTGTATTTTGGACCTTAGACAGAAAAGTGGTTCCCAAACTTTGGTCCTCCAAGTGTTTTGAATCTCAACTCCCAGAAGCCCCAACCAACTTGCTCAGCAGGCAGGAATTCTGGAAACTGAAGTCCAAAGCTTGGGAACCACTTAGCTAAAGGGGCTGCTCCCAGATTAAGGTGAAATGAGGGGACTTTGCTTCTAGCCAGAAAATGGATGCAAAGAAGAGCAGAAGGTGAGCCCTGGCACCACAACAACTGGGAGGTAACACAGTCTCCAGAGAGTCTTTACAAATTACAGCACCAGTTAAATGAATCCTGGGGAACTGTAGCAAGGTGCTAATCTCTTCGGATGCATCTACACTGTAGAAATAATGTAGTTTGACACCTCTTTAACTGCCATGGCTCCAGCCTACAGAATCCTGGGATTTGTAGTCTGCTGAGGCACCAGCGAGAGCCAGGTTGGTGTAGTGATTTGAGCACTGGACTGTGACTCAGCTCTGCCATGAAAATCCACTGAGTGACTTTGGGCAAGTCACACTCTCTCAGCCTCTTAGGATGGTAATGGCAAAGCCTCTCTGAAGAATCTTGCCAAGAAAACTCCATGAAGTTGGAAATGATTGAAAGGCACACAGCAGCAACAAGAGGCACCAGCCTTCCCTGGCACAGAAGGCTCAAAAAGACCTTGCAAAACAAAAATCCCAGGATTCCAAAGGATGGAGCTACAGCACTGAAAGTGGTGTTGAGCTGCAATGTTTCTAAAGGACAGATGCACCCCTGAGCTGGATCTATACTTTGTTGTTTTTGTTGTTCACTGCCTTTGTGTCCATCTCGACCCATGGCAACCCTTTGGATGAGACATCTCCAGTCCCCCCTGTCCTCTAGTGCTCTGCCCAGCTCCTGCAAACTCATATTAATGTCTCTTTAATAAAATATATCTATCTAGTATGTGGCCTTTCTCTCTTTCTATTTCCCTCCACCTTTCCTAACATTACTGTCTTTTCCAACGATTCGTGCCTTCTCATGATGTGTCCAAAGTACGACAGTCTAAGTCTTGTCATCTTGGCTATCTCTGGCTTGATCTGCTCTAGGACCCATTTTTTTATCCTTTTGCCTGTTCATGGGATCCTCAGCACTCTTCTCCAGCAGCATATCTTAGACTTAGATTGTTGACATTTCTTCTTCCTATTTTCACTTCTCCCTCTTCTGTGTCCAAGCCTGCTTTTCTTATAATATGCTCTCCATACAAGTTGAACAGAAAGGGTGAAAGCATGCAGCCAGAAAATGTCTGACCCTTTTACCAATTGGGAACCATTCTGTTTCTCTGTCTTCTGTTCTGACAGTTGCCTCTTGTCCTGAGTTCAGATTCCTCATTAG